GCAGGAATATGTTTGCAATAATAAGCTCAACTTAATCCTCTAAAGTCCATACCTGCTTTAAATTAATTTTACTGAATTACATAGAAGTTAACATCATGATGACTGTTAGGTCAATGAAGAGAGATTTCTGGATTTTGGGATTTTTTCCTCAGTTCCTTGAAATTTTGTGACACAAGCTCAGAAATGAGCACTTTATTCAGAGTACCTACTATCGAAACCCATCTTATATTTTCCATTTAGCAGATGGTGAGCTGATGTTCAAGCAGAGTAACTCCACTGGTCCCTCTGCTTTTGCTGGACAGCAGTGCAGATCCTGCTCCTACACACTCATCCCTGGGCCTTCTGCCATGTCAGTTTGTGTCGGCTTCAGCCCAGGGTGGGGAACTGATCCATTGATTCCACCATAAGACCTCCGTCAGCTGGTGTTGCCACCAAACCTGGAGTCATACCTGTAGTGACTACTTCAAGGTGATGAAGAGTGCCTTTGGCATAGCTGGGATCTGAGTTGCACCCACCCAAGCTCCACACCAGGCTTTGAACCAAGACATTCTTCCCCTTCCTCATTTTTTTCTCATACTTTCCAGCCGCAAACTCTTATTATAAGAACTTCATAGTACATCAGTGGAAAACAACCCCCCTTGCACTTTCTAATTATCTTTTGAGTTGCAACAGCAGTGATTGGAAGGCAAATCTTACTTGGTAGTCTTCAATAGGAACACAAGGTTTATTTGAATTACCTGAATCTTTTGAATATGCACTCATCATTTGGAGTCTTTTCCCCAAGATTTTCAGCACTTCTGCTGCAATGCTGGATAGGGCTTAATCAAGAAAGCCTTTCTTGGCATGTATAGCTCCTTACTCCCAGATGCACTAAAAGTCTCTCTGAGACAGAAAGACCAAAAAAAAAGTGTTGAAAAGTGATAAACACACTATAACCTCAAAGAATAGTTACATGGAGCCAAAGGAAGGAAACTGGGATGGATTTTAGAAAAGCAACTATAATCCACATTACATTTGGCCCACAGACCCAGTCTGACTCACTTCCATCCAGAAGTCCCTGTCGCAGGACTGAGGCTGGCTCCAGCCCTCTAGAATCTCATGTCAGGACCCGAACAGCTCCCTGGTATTGCCCTCCTTCTATCTGGGCTTAGTCCATGTACCAAAGTCAGGGTCGTACTTGGAAATTTCACAAGGTTGTCTGGAGATTATAATGGCAGATTAATTTTCTCTCTGCATCTCTGTACACATTCTTCTTGCAGAATAGCTGTTTTGGTACATTTCCAGTTGCAGATAAGCCTTGAGCCAAGGTTTGAAATGGAAAAGAGATCTCCCTTTTTATAAGAACCAGCCTCACATCTTATTTCTTTTTCACTGTGTGTTTGAACCTAATCATACAGCTGCTCTGATGAGGGCACAGAGAAATGTCAAAGATGAATTTAGGCTTTAGATGATAAACTGATAATACATGAGAGAGAAAAAAACTAAAAGTCAAAGATAGTGAAAGAAGGCAACAATGACATGGAAGATGTCTAACATTGGACAGAAAGGGAGCTGTAAATTTGAAGAAGTGATTATAATGAATTGCCAGAAAGACGGAGCAAGTGAAATGTGTTCAGCCTCAAAAGTCATTAGAGCAAGTCTAAAAAAAGGGAAGTTTTGATCCTAATTAAGAGAAGCTTCTTGCGTGTAGCAACTCATGTAATATCTGCACTGTTAAAACAAGGCTAGTACCTCAACAGAACTTCAAGGCACATTATTTATGGGTTTCTATGGTGCTGCCCATTGTAGTTCCTAACGAACATGAAAGGGTTTAACTTTACGTCATCACTCTTCATTAACCCTATTATACAAATGAGGAAATTTAAGAAGGTTAGGTAACTTCCATGTGCTTGTGCATGAAGGGAACAGGCTCCTGGCACTTTCCAACACACCCAGCAAAGCAACAGCCCTCCTCCCTGCCCACCAGTCTCCCTGTCCACCTCTGTTCCTCTGAGCGCACAGTGGGGGTGGAGGTTGAGGTCCCGCTCGACCTTCCCTCTTCCCAGCAGTGATGCCTGTCAGTGGCTTAGTTGCACAAGG